GACAGCGAGGGACGGCGGGGCACCCCGACAGCAGGGACGCAGGCTGGGATTGCTTGGCCGACAGGCCTCCCCCTCCTCCTCCTCCTCCTCCTCCTCCTCCTCCTCCTCCTCCTCCTCCTCCTCCCAATTATCCTCCTCATTATCATCCTCCGTGCCCTCTCCGCCTTGCCCTCCTGCTACCTCATCCTTGCGCTTATTCCCTGCCTCCTCCTCCTTCTCCTCCTCCTTTTCCTACGCCTCCGCGTCCGCCCCCGCATCAGCATCGTCGTCATCATTATCATCATCACCACCATCATCATCAGCACAATCATCATTCTCATCTTCAACATCATTTTCAGCATCAACATCAAAGTCATCATCATCATCATCATCATCATCATCATCATCATCATCATCATCATCATCACCATCGTCATCGTCATAATCATTGAGTACCAGCATCATCATCACTATCAGCATCACCATCATTATCATAATCCTGGATCCTGACCATCATCATCGGCATCATCGGCACCAGCAGAAACAGCATCAGCATCATCATAATCATCAGCATCATCAGCATGATCATCATCACCATCGTCCTCCACTACCTCCTAATCCCATTCATCCTCAAGGGAACTGGGGGCGGCGGTGGAGGGGCAGATGCGAGGAGGGCACTTGTGGAGGAAGAGGAGGAGGAGGAGGAGGAAGAAGGCGGAGGAGGAGGCGGAGGAGGCAGAGGAGGAGGGGAGGAAGGAGGTTGAGAGAAGGGACGAGCCACCGCGCAAGCAAATGGACTGCTGACTGAGAGGAGCGGCGGGGCATCCCGACAGCAGGGACGCCTCGCGCGCTCGGCAATGGCTGGGATTGCTGGGCCGGCAGGCCTCCCCCTCCTACTCCTCCGTCTTCTCCTCCTCGTCCTTCTCATTATCCTCCGTGCCCTCTCCGCAATGCCCTCCTGATACCTCATCCTTACGCTTATTCCCCGCCTCCTCCTCCTTCGTCTCCTCCTCCTCCTGCTCCTCCGCAACCGCAACCGCACCCCCATCATTAGCATCATCAACATCATCAGCATCATCATCATCATCATCATCGTCATCATCATCAGCATCATTATCATCATTATCATCATCGTCATCATCATCGGCATCATCATCATCATCATCATCATCACGATCAACATCATGAACACCATCAACATCAATACCGATAGGACCACCCTGCTGGTGATAAGGAGTTGTTGGGGGATGGAGGGGTGGTCGATTTGCGATAGCTCTGGGTTCTTTGGCGGTTTTTTAATTGTTTAAACGGCCCAAATATAGATCGACCTATGTATATATATCTATGAATGTATTTGGAACAATCATCGATATCGATCTGTATATGTCTAGCAAGATATCACTCTACCAGTCGATCAACCGATCAACCAAACAATCAATCAATACACATATATATATAAGTATGTGTATATATATATCCCTACATATATGTATACCGGTCAACCCCATTTATATGTGTACATGTGGATATCCCAGTACATTTGTATGTACCATTATCTCTCTATATAGATCTATATAGATCTATATACATATATATATATATATATCACTCTGTCTACCTCTCTACCAATCTGATATATACATATATATATATGAATGTATGTATGAATTTGTCTATCTAACTTTCGATCTATCAACCGTCGGGACGACCATCGGGGCAACCATCGGGACAACCATCGGGAAAACCATCGGGACAACCATCGGGACAACCATCGGGACAACCATCGGGCCAACATATAACAACATCTATACACAGATCTATATATACATATGTATAACTATCTATATACATATATATGTATATATATAGGTCTATCAACCATCGAGACAACCATCGGGACAACCATCGGGACAACCTTCGGGACAACAATCGGGACAACCGTCGAGACAACCATTCGGACAACCATCAAGACAACCATCGGGACAACCATGGTGACAACCATCGGGACGGACAGCGGGACAACCAGCGGGACAATCATCGGGACAACCGTTGGGACATCATCGGGACAACCATCGGGACAACCACAACCATCGGGACAACCGCTGGGACAAGCGCTGGGACAACCGGGGGTCACGCCCGGCGCTCGGGGGGCAGCCCTTTTGGCAATATATGCCCTCTACTAAGGATTGAAAGCGCGCAGCTTCGCCTCGCCCGCACACACGACACGAACCGCAACAGAAACCGACTTCCTGGTTGTGATCAACTCCGTGCCAGACCCCCAACCTCCGATCAATATCACCGTCACTATCACTACCACAATAACCCTCACCATCACCATCAGCATCACTATCACCAGAATACAATCACCGTTACCATCATCATCATCATCATCATCATCATCATCATCATCATCATCATCATCATCATCATCATCATCATCAGCCGTAGCATCATCATCATCATCAGCCGTAGCATCATCATAAGCAGCAGCATTATCATCACCACTACCATCAACATCGCTGCCATCATCATTACCATCACCACCATCGTCATCATCATTACCGTCAGCATGGTCAACATCATATTCACCATCATCAGATCTCCACCATCATCATCACCATCATCATCTTCATCACCATCACCCTTTAGATCACCATCACCATCATCCTCATCAGCATCATAATCGTCGTCGCCTTCATCATCATCAGCATCATCACCATCACCATCATCATCATCATCACCATCACAATTGCGATCATCATCATCAACATCTTCATCATTAACGTTATCACCGGCATCATCCTCAACATCGTCGTCGTCAACGCTATCATCAGCTTTGTCCTCGTCATCATCTTCATCTACATCATCGCATCTCCACCATCATCATCACCATCAGCAGCATCGGTATCAGCATCAACACTACCATCATGATCACCACCATTATCATCCTCAACAGTACCATCATCACCATCCCAATTCTCATTAGCAGCATCATCATCGTCATCGTCGCCGGCATCGTAATCGTCATCCTCATCAGCAGCATCACGATCAGTACCATCAACAACATCACCATCATCGTTATCATCCTCGTCAGCATACGCGTCACCCGCATACTCCTAACCCACATCCCCACATCAGCATGACAACCATCATCATCAGCATCAGCATCAGCATCATCATCATGATCATCCTCACCATCATGCGCATCATCACTAATAGTCATCATGATGAGCCCCAAACCTTCTCAGGGCCACCACCACGAGGGTCACGAAACGCGCCCAGGGTCCAGCAAGGCATGAGGGTGTAAACCCGACGTGTCTTGCTGATGCTCTGGGGGGTCCTGTACTCAGGGGAGGCCGCAGCACCGCTCAACGATGTGCTGTTTAACCAAGACTGCAAGGTGGGCCCTTTTTCCAACTCCGTGCTTCGGTGCGGATCGTCTGCGCGCCTCGTCTCCGTCGTCGACGCCGTCGTCGGCGGCGTCGTCGTGGTCGTGGAGCATGTTGCTCTGCTCGGGACTCCTTCCCTTATGCAGTGACCACAATCACCAATCATACTCAGAGTGATGATGATGATCACCATCATAAGCACCATCACCATCACCATCATCGGCATCATCATCACGATCATCATCAGCATCACCAGTATCATCACCATCATCACCAACCTCATCAAGGTCATCACCCGCATCATCCTCAACGCCGTCGTCGTCAATGCTATCCTCTTTATCCTCGTCATCATACAATCATCATCACCACCATCATCACCATCAGCAGCATCATCACCATCACCATTACGATCACCACCACCATCATCGTCATCATCAACCTCAGATCTGCACACATCATAATCAGAATGATCACCAGCACGATCCGCCTCAGCATTACCATCAACCTTATCATCATTCCTCATCGTCATCAGTCGTCCTCACAACCATCACCGACAATCATACTCACCAGCATGACCATCGTCGCCATCACGATCATCAACATCATCAACATCATCATCATTGTCATCGACCTCATCATCATCATCATCATCATCATCATCATCAATACCATCATCATCATCCTCATCATCAATACAATCATCATCATCATCATCATCATCAATACCATCATATTCATCGCCATGGGTACCATCGCCATCAACAGCATCATCATCAGCAAAACCGTCACCATCATCAACGTCACCAGCACAGTCATCAGCAATACCACCATGACCATCACCATCACCATCACCACCATCATGATCATCAGCAACACCAGCATCATGTTCTGCTGTCATGGTCATCATCAACGTCATACACAATCATCATCATACTCGTCATCATTATCATCGTCATCACCATCATCCCCACAATCAGCATCGGCATCACCACCATCATCATCTCGGTCAGTCTTCGGAATCATGCCCTCATCCTGCTTCCCCCTCCTCCTTCCAGTCCTTCCCTGTGTCCTCCTCCCAACTCCTCATTATCCTCCTCTTCCGTCCTCGTCACCCCTCCTGCTCCTCATCAACCTTGTACTCCTCTTCCTCCTCTTCCTCCTCCCCCTCTTCCACCTTGCCATCCTCTTCCTCCCCCTCCTGCTTCCCGTCTTCCTCCTCATGGGCCAGCCACATCCTCCCCCCCTCCCCTTTGCGATCCTCCTCCGCCAGGCCTCCTAGCCCCAAGTCATCCGCCTGCTCCGCCTGCTCCTGCTGCTCCTGCTGCTTCTGCTGCTCCTCCTCCTCCTCCTCCTCCTCCTCCTCCTCCTCCTCCTCCTCCTCCTCCTCCTCCTCCTCCTCCTCTCCTCCTCCTCCCTCCCTCCCTCCCCCTCCCCTCCCTCCCCCCCTCCCCCTCCCTCCCCCTCCCTCCCCCTCCCTCCCTCCCGCCCTCCCTGCCCCCTCCTGCTCCTCCCTCCTGCTCACCCACTGCAGCCGTCGCCTGCGCGGGGCCCCGCAGGCAGGCCACCTCTCACGGCTCTCGGCGCGAGTTGCCTGAGAGGCCACGCCCAGCGCCGCCGGGCCCGCGGGGAGCTCTAGGAGGGCTTTCCCACCTTCGACCGGCGGGAGGCGAAGGAGGACGAGGAAGACGAGGAGGAGGAGGAGCAGGAAGAGGAGGAGGAGGAGGAGGAGGAGGAGGAGGAACAGGAGGAGGAGGAATATGGGGCGGAGGAGGAGGAGGAAGGAGGAGTAGGGGGGGGGGAGGCCGCGGGGGAGGCGCTTACGGTCAGGAGCTTGTGCTCACCGCGTCGCTGCGGCGGCCCACGCGACACACATGACGTCCTGCGAGCAGATCGCGTGTCGCTCAGCTCCGCGGGGCGGGAGGCTGGGAGCAGCTCGGGACGTTGCCGCTTGGGAATGGGAACGTGGATAGCGTGTCGCGCCGATGCGTTGGGCCACAACTGGCGGTGCGACACGCTAAGCCAAAGTTCCTGACCGTAAGAGGAGGCAGGAGGCCAGGAGAGGAGGGGCAGGGGGATAAAGAGGATGGAGGAGGGAGTGAAGGCAGGCAGTGAGTGAGGGATGGAAGGAGGGAGGAGGGAGGAGGAGCAGGAGGCAAGCGGCATGTAACAATGGATGATCAGGCGACTACGGAGGCTTGCGGAGGATGATGGGGAGGAGAAGGATCAGGAGAAGGAGCAGGAAGAGAAGGCGCTCTTTCCTCCCATTCCTGCTACGGCCAACTCGCCTGCTCGTCCTCCAACTCCTCATTCGCCCCCTTCCTCTCTCCTGAACACCTAACCCTCTCTCCAGGGCTGTATGTTGTTCATCCCGAACCGATTCATTGACGGTTCCAGAGTCCTGCGAGGACCCATGGGCCGAAAGTGGGCACAAAACTTCCCCATCTTTCTTGGGAGGCAACTACTGGGAAGTCTTCGTCGGAAAGACAAAGGAAAATTCAGCCCCATTGGGGGGCTGTTACGCCGGAGCGGGCCTCGGATTAAGCGGGATCAAGCCGGATTAAAGCGGATTCAAGCGGGATTACGCGGGATCAACTCGGATTCAGCCGCATTCCGGACCAGGGCAAAATCAGACTTTGACCTCCCAGGAGTTGCATCCGAAGTCTTTTCACTACGCAGCATGTCTGAGGAGGATCGGAGGCGAGCGAGGGGGGAACTGAGAAGGAGAAGGCCTCCTCAGAAGGCGGCGGGGCTTCTCAGAAGGCCTCGGGCCTGAACTAAGAGCTCTTCTTGTGTCTTCGGGGCAGGCGTGGAGAGAATTTCCCGGAAGGCCGGGGAACCTCCGAGCCCTCTGAGGGCAGGCGACGGCAGCAGAGGGCCTCCGCCGCCGCGCGCGGGCAGCAGCTACTCGGCCCGCCCTTCCCGCGCGCCTCTCTCGCGTCTGGGGGACACCTCGAGGATAATGAGGAGGAGGAGGAGGAGGAGGAGGAGGGAGGAGGAGGAGGAGAAGGCGAAGGAGGAGGAGGAGGAGGAGGAGGACGAAGATCGGGAGGGGGAGGATGATTAGGGGGCGAGGAGGGGAGGAGGGGCAAGAGGGCGACGACCCCTCGAAGAGAAGGCCCGCCCCTTCTCACCTCCCCCCCTGGCTCGCCGCCGAGAGGCAGATCAGAGCTCGTGTGGGCGGTGGCCCCTCTGGGCGGCAGCGCTGCCGCCCCTCCCCCCCGCCACGATCTCACGCGCGCGGCCTGCAGAGCCCCCCGCCCCTTCTCACTTCCCCCCTCCTCCTCCTCCTCTTCCTCCTCCTCCTCCTCCTCCTCCTCCTCCTCCTCCTCCTCCTCCTCCTCCTCCTCTTCCTCCTCCTCCCCCCTCCCCTCCTCCTCCCCCCTCCTCTTCCTCCTCCTCCTCCTCGACCTCCTCCCCCTCCTCCTCCGCCTCGTCCCTCTCCTCCTCCTCGCGAGGAGGGGCGCCCTGGCCCCACCGCAGTGGAGGCGCCATGAAGCCCGACGGCGTCACGGCCGCCGGCCGGCGCGCAGGGAGATGGGCTTCGCAAAAGGCCCGGCAGGCCTCGGGCTACAGGGCAGTTTCTAATACATATGATCTTAAAATATAAGATTTATCATACATGGTAAATTTATTAATAGATTTACGCATGCACTCATCGTTGTTTTTGATACTAAATCCCGGCTTGTGCAATACATGATCCGCACGCGGAGCATGTATTAGAAACGGCACTGTATGTTGCTCCCAGCGCACTGAAGGACCACATCCCGGAGATAATTTCGACCACCCAAAGGAGCATCGAAGCAGTGTCGAACGAGTATCGCATCCCAAGGGCCCGACGCGTGAAAACCATCCAGTTTCGGCACTTTCTTCGTGCTCGAAACTCTTTCTGGCAATCGAGGCTAAAGTAAGTTGGAACATCATAAGCCTCGGGCCTGATGAGAGGTCTTCTGAATTTCCCCCGGGGACGAGACGGCTTCTCGGAAGGCTCCTGGGAAGTCCCGAGGACGCTCAGCTTGCCAGCGGATAAACCAAAACCAGGGGGGGGGGGGGCGGACCTCAGTGGCGAAGGCGTCCCTGCACTACGCTTGCTTTGGCTAGCAGCTGTTGGCCGTATTGGCCGATGTACAAGCGGCAAGTTCTTGCGCGCTCTCGTGTTCCGGCTCGTCGCTCGAAGCTGGTCTGTTGACTGCTCTCTCAAGCCCCGCCGCCCTCTGAGACGGACTGCCCCCTCTCATCCTCCCCGGGCGCGCCGCCGAACCAGGGGGGCACGCGGACGGTCGGGAAGGTCCTGGCCGAGGCGCGACGCGACAAACCTGGGGCCCCCTTCTGGGCCAGCTGGGCGTGTGCGGCCCTTCGGCCGCCGAAATCGCGCGGGGTCGAGCCCGCTCGGCGGCGGAGTGGGCTCAGGCGCCGAGGAGCTCAACGAGGAGCCTGGGGAATTCTCGAGCATACCAAATCCACGTGCGCCTCGACTGTCCGCGGGCCCGCTCAAACCCGTCGCGTGGCTACTGACTGAACTCCTGGCCCGACAGACCCGAGCACGAAGGCGAGAACGACCATCTCGTTCGGCATGAGATTCTGCGTGGCGCGGGCCCCCGGGGCTTCAACCGCTTCTCCCCCCAGGCCGGCTTCTCGTCCCGCCCGAGTCGTGCCCGGACGCCCACAGGGCCAGGGGGCGGCCTGCAGAGGCCAAGCACGTCTACACAATCAGCTGTCAGGATGTTCGTTGCGTCGCCTGGATCTATCGGGAGGGCGAGGAGGAGAGGGGGAAGGAGGACGCAGGGGAGGAGGTGGAGGAGGACGGTGACGAGGACGAGGACGAGGGCCAAGGGGGGGAGAAAAGAGGGAACCACCTGCCCGTGGAATGCGGTCGTTGTTGTCTCGAAGCTCCGCGCGTTCGCAAGCTCCGCGAGCTTCGCCTCCTCCTCCTTTCGGTTGGTCGCAACTCTTTCCACGCTTGTGCTGCAAAGTGCTGCGCATCGGCACAGCATAGGCGCGCTGCAGCGTGAGGCAGAGAGCACGACGGCCGCCGAGCCGCGAAACGCACAGGCACAGGAGCAATAGCCGGCATCAAGCCGTAGAGCGATGAAGCATGGGAGGATGAGGGGCATGGGCCAAGCAGGGGGTGCAGCGTGGGGCATGGACAGGAGGAATGACAGGGGACCGCGCCAGTATGAGTACCTCCTCACCGACGGACATACGAAGCACGTGCGGAACCGTTACACGTACACATGCACATATCTATACACATATGCGTATACATACACAGAAAAAAGCGTGAGACAGTTACGGTGCGGGGTACGCATGGTCCGGATGCTCCATGGCAGCTGGGGTACTATTCGCCGAACACCTGCTCTTCATATTGGACAGAAGCGAGGGGAGGGTGAACCAGTCAGCGAACTGCTCCGTGCTGAGCCTGTTCTCAGGAGAGATCGCCTGCAACAACTTTGGGGGCAGTAAACTGCGGCAGCGGCGAAGAACCTGCTCATTACTGTTGGGAGCGGGAGTTGGGGTGGCTGCTCTTCCGCCTCCTCCTCCTCCTGCCCAACATCCCACTGTAATTGTCTACTGCTGCCTGCTGTGCACAGGGTCGGCGGCACCGACCGCGAGGCCTTCGCAGTAATGACTGGATGAGATGATTGGCACGATAAAAAACCTTCGCTGCACGCAAGAATGTCGGGTCGGGCGAAAGGGGGGGATAGCAAAGGGGGGGGGGGGAGAATCAGCTCACGTAGCTGATTTTCCCGGCGCCTCCCGGCGCCGGAGGCGGCTATGTATCGAAGAATGGGCCCCTCGGTGAGGCCGAAACCAGCTGCATGCAGCAGATTTCGTAACCCCCCCCGTTCCCAATCCCCCCCTTTCGTCCGGCCCGAGAATGGCCCTGGGCAAAAGTAACCCTGGGCGCGCGATTCTCGGGGAGCGCGGGAAGGCCAAGCCCTTGCCACTCCCGCTCGGCCGAGGCCACCCTCAGACGCGTTGCACACTGCCCCCCCAAACACCAGGGGGAGGAGGAGGAGGAGGAGGAGGAGGAGGAGGAGGAGGAGGAGGAGGAGGAGGAGGAGGAGAGGTCACCGAGGAGAGGAGCCAGGAAGGGGGGGTCAGCGCACCACGGCCCGAAGACACGTGCTCGGACCGAGGGGGGGGGGGGCATGGGGGACATGCTGAAGGAAGAAAAAGGGGGCCATGGAATCGGGGATGCTTGACGGCTCTGGCCACGACAATCACCCCCAATTCTCGCGAGTCGGAAAAAGTAGGCGGAAGCATGAAGTAGGAAGGCGGATGAAGTAGATTGGGCTCGGGTCCGCCCAAGGAGTAACAGAAACAACAAGCACGAATCGATGATTGAAGAAGGGAAGTGGGAAAGCGCTTGAAGTAGATTGGTTTCTGGATATCCTAAAACCCCATCAATTCAACGATTGGCGTGTAGTCCCCGACCCCCTTCGTGGACGCCCCCCGGCGCACGCGATCTCCCCTCTCCGCTTGCTGAACAACTCGAGGCAAGGCTGGGCCGGCCCCCGCTGAAGCCGGGCGCACGCAGAAGCGACGACCCTGGGCAAACGCGAGCTTTGGTGCGCAGCTTTGGGGGGTCGCGAGGGGACCAAACCTTGGTTGGAAGGATTAAGGTCCATTGGTTAGAAGGATTCAGGCCCATCGGTTAGAATGATTGGGACTCAAACTACTGGGAGGTCTTGGTCAGAAGGAGTAAAGCGGATTGAGCCCCATTGGGGGGCTGTGACGCCGGAGTGGGCCTCGAATTGCGCGGGACTCAACCGGAGCAAGCGGGAGTAAGCCGGACTATGCGGGATCAAGCTGGACTGAACCGGACTTCGGACCAGGGCAAAAGCAGAATGTGGCCTCCCAGGATTCCAGGATTGACACCCGAACCAACCCAGGCGCGCAGGCTGACACGCCCGCATCGCACTCAGCGATCGGGGGGCCCCCGCCGGCCCACGCCAAGGGCCACCCCGGCGAGGGTGTATACACGTGTGGCCGCTCGCCCTCCTCCTTCCCTCCTCCTCCTCCTTCCCTCGTCCTCCTCCTCCTCCTCCTCCTCCTCCTCCTCCTCCTCCTCCTCCTCCTCCTCCTCCGGCACCCTCCGCTTCTCCAGCGGGGCTCCTGCACCAGCCTCTCGGCCTCCTGCAGGTGGCGCGACTGCAGGGTCCTGTCCTCGCGGGCCGCCCCCCCTCTCCCGCCCCGAGGACGGCGAGAGGACCGAGGCGAGGACGAGGGCGAAGACGAAGGGGAGAGGACGGGGAGGGCGAGGACGAGGAGGGCGAGGAGGAGGAGGAGCAGGAGCAGGAGCAAGCTCCTTGGGTCCGCTCCCCTCCGTCTTGAAGGCGTCGTTGTCGTAGTTGCAGGACTCCTTGTAGGTGGACCCGGGCGTCCCAACGGATTTCGGGCCATAGACCCGCTCGAACGTGTTGTCCATCTTTCGAAAACCGTCGTTCGGCACCTTCGTGAAGTCCTGGGGAGAATCGCAGCCAGGCGCGAGGCCATGCCATCGGAACGATCCTCCTCCCCCCCTTCTGCCTCCTCCTTTCCTCTGTCCGCAAGTACTGCACATGTTCGCTGCTGCTGCGACACTGCACCCGTTTCGCTGCCGCACGCGTCGCCTCTCATTCACCGGGCTGCACGCAAGAACGACCCTGGGCAGCAGTGATCCGTGGTGGTAGCCGGCATTAGGGGACCGCAGGGAAGCCGAATCCACGCGCAAGCCAATGCTGGAGCCCCTGTGGGCTCGCACCACAGGCCACTCTGGTGAAGAGTCACTCTTGCGCGTAGCCCGCCCACTGGCCATTCCACGGCCAACTGTTCTTACACGAAGCACCGAACAACTGAGACGTGAGACGGAACATCGCCAGACAAGCTGGGAACGCCACACGCGACGTTACGCACAGCGATGCGCTGCAGGGGAAAAGGGGGAAGAACGAAAGGAGGACAGCGAAACGTCGCCTGGCCGGCCGCGCGAGGGGAACGAGGCGACGCTTGGGTAGAATGCAAAGCCCGCTAGAGAGGGGGAGAACAACACCGCCAAGCATCACGTGCGGTGCTGGCTGTCTCAGGCTCCACCAGGGAGTCGTGCGGAGGAGATTACGCCTGAACTGGTCGGGGAAGTCGCAGCTGGTCAAGGGGGCAGCCAGTCGGGGGGCAGGGGGGGGAAGAAGGAGCCAGGAAGACCCCCCAGGCGAGTTTTCTCCACGCAAAGTACCACGGGGGACACAGCCACTAGGCTTAGGTCGGGCATGTGTCCCCCTACAGGTGGTGTTTGGTCGAAAATCAAACATATCGAAAGCATACAGAACAATAGTTGCAACGAAATCGAAAGTCGACCCCATGCTAGATTTTGACTGTATTTGAATATTTCTCCTGTAGGGGGACATGTCCGACTAACGCTAGGCAAAACGGGAGCACCGCACGCAAGCGAGGACCCCTCGGGCGATGCCGCCGGCCCCCTTGCTGGATCTCCGCGGGGGCGAAGATAGGTAGGACTCGGGCACTTCAGCAGATCCACCTCCTCCTCCTCCTCCTCCTCGTCCTCCTCCTCTTCCTCCTCCTCCTCTGCCTTTCCTCCTTCTCTAGGAGAGGGGAGGGGAGAGGGAGGGACGAGATGAACCTGTTTTGCTGTCCTCCTCTGAATCTTGGCCACGCCCCGACGCAGGACCACAACCTGAGACGAAGCCGGGGTCCCAGTACAGCGGCCGTTCCCGAGACCTCTGGAACGCTCTGTGAGCTCTCCAGAGCGCTCTTGAGCGATGTGTCCTTACGTCCCCTGGACCTCCTGACTACCCCAAACCCACGCCGCGGACCTCCGAGGCCCGCATCTGTTGGAGTCGCCGGCTCCCGGAAACCTGGGAATCCTGCCCACATCCCTGGTCTGGCTTTCCATCCCGAGCCGCTTTTGATGGCCGGCCCCAGGCCCAGGAACGGCGCAACGTTTTCGAGGAAGTCTGGAAGCGTAGAGGAAGAACCAACCGCATAAGCAGAAACTTCTGGAGGTCCGCGCGGATTTCTCGGATCTGCGCTCGACCCCCTCCCTGGCGCGCGGAGCGCGCGAGGGGCGGCGCCGCAGGCGCCGCCAGGGGGCACCAGCTCAGATCCAAGAAATCCGCGCGGACCAACAGTTTATGTTCATGGTGCTTTTCTTCGAGAGAGGCTCGAAGCGACTCTCTGGACATCTCCTCGGGCGTCTTCTGGCCAGGATTTTCGAAGGCCAGGAGGAGGCCCCCGAGGGCGCATGAACTTGTTGGTCGTCGGCGCCAGCGAACGCGGGCGCCAGAGGTTGCCAACAGCAGGGCATGCCAGGAACGGGCGCCAGAGCGGGTGGAAAAGAGGAGGGCGGCCGCGGAGGAGGAGGCGTGAGGGGCTAAACCGCCGAGAGTCGGCGAGTGGGCGGCGCGCAAAAAAGGAGGCGAGCACGCAAGCAAACGAGAAAAACCTGGCTGCCAGAGGCCTGAGCCTCATCCCCTCCCCCACTCCCTGGGAGGACGAGGAGGAGGAGGAGGAGGAAAAGGAGGAGGAGGAGGAGGAGGAGCAGAAGCAGAAGCAGAAGCAGGAGGAGGGGGAGGAGGAGCAGACAGAGGAGGACAGCGAGGAGGAGGAGGAGGAAAAGGAGGAGGAGGAGGAGAGGAAGAGGAGGAGGAAGAGGAGGAGGAGGAGGAGGAGGAAGAGGAGGAGGAGGAGGAGGAGGAGGGCAAGCCCCTCCCCCCCCTCACACCCTGGGCTGTCCGTCAGGAGCCCAGAGCGCGGCAGGTGCCTCTGCGGCACGGTCCTCCCCTCGCCAGTGGCTTCGCGGATCACCTGGGGCGCCGCGGGCGCGCGCGCGCAGCCGCCGCTCGGGGGCGGCCCGGCGCGGGGGCCGCTCGGGGGCGGTCCCGAAGCGGCCGCAGCGGGCGCCGAGGTGGCGCGACGGCCCAAGGAGGCCCCAAAACGGCCCAAGAGACGCCATAGAGGGCCAAGAGCGCCAGGAGTGCCCCAAAAAGACCCAGAGAGGCCCGCCCCAAGACGGACACCGCAGGCGCCAGGCGGCCCAAGAGCGTCCCCAAACGGCCCAAAAACTCACAAAAAAACTCGATCCCCCCATGACGCCGCAAAGAGGCCCCCAAGTGGCCCGCAAGAGGACTCCAAGAGGCCCAGCTAAAACTCCTAGGAGATGGAAAAATTAAGGGAAGGATGACGACGACGAAGACGAAGGAAGACAACCCGACACGACACGGAACAACGTGTCACATGTTGCGCCCCTCATCCAAAAAGACGAAATGGTTCTCCTGCTCCCCCTCCTCCTTGTCCTCCTCCTCCTCCTCCTCCTCCTCCTCCTCCTCCTCCTCCTCCTCCTCCTCCTCCTTCGTTACGCATCCTCTTCCTAGGGACGACAGCCAAACATTTTCAACGGCATTTTTCCTCCTCCTCCTCCTCCTCCTCTTCCTCCTTCTTATTCTCCTCCTCCTCCTCCTCCTCCTCCTCCTCCTCCTCCGCCTCTTCCTCCTCCTCCTCCTCCTCCTGGTCCTCATGATCGTCATCCTCGTCATCATCCGTCTTTCCTCCTCCTCCTCCTCCTCCTCCTCCTCCTCCTCCGCCTCCGCCTCTTCCTCCTCCTCCCCCTCCTCCCCCTCCCCCTCCTCCTCCTCCTCCTCCTCCGTAGCCATTTTGTCTCAAGCAGCCATTTCAGCTGGGCTCGAGAGGGCGGGCGCGATCGGCGGCCGCCGCCCAGCCTGCACCGGCGCACCTCGAAGTGGCCCGTCGGTGTGAGCCATAGCATGGCTTGGGAGCTGCCGTACGGAGGCGCCTTGGTGCGCCAGTTGTGGCTGCGCGAGCTGGCCGGCAGGCGTGGTGCCGCTCCTCGGCGTGGTGCTCCACAAGTGGTCGCACGAGCAGGCGCTGGCCGATGCCTCGCAACCTGCCCCTCGGCTCAGTGCGGCGGAAGGGCAGAGGCGGGGTCGCGGGGTCCTCGCCGTGCTCCTTGGGCAGTCGGCAGCAGAGGAGAAGGTCGTGAAGGAGGTGGGCCCTGGGGCTTCCCGGGGCGGCGCCGCTGGAGCTGCCCCTCGGCGGCGCGCGGGCGCACCTCCGGATGTCGCGGTCGTGGAGAAAAAGAGTGCTGGCGTGGAGGCGGACTGCGACGCGCAGGACGCTCACGACTGGCAGACCACATCGAGGCGGCGCAGGATAACTTCAAGTACCGGCAGCCACTGAGATCTGGCTCAGCGCGCGGCGGCCGAGGAGGCGGCCTGCTGGAACAGGCAACGCAGGAAGGCCTCAAGGGAACGCTGGGCGGCTACGGCGGTGCAGAAGCACTTCAGGGGCCACCTGGCGAGGCGAGGACTCGAGAGCACGGCGGCTGTGGCCAGCAGCTCCCCAGATCCCGCCCTGTGCAATCAGGAGCACCTCGTCGGTGCAGGTGGCGGCGAGAACGAGGACGCCATCCTCGATGAGGCCGTCGCCGCCGCGGATCTGGAGCGCGAGGCGCTGGGAGCAGCCACGCCCCCAGCGCAGGCCGTCGGCGGCAAGCCGGCGCGGCGGCGGAAGCAGAGGGAGATTGAGGCTGCCAAGGCGGAGCTTGGTGCGGAGATCGAGGCGGGCAGGGAACGCCTGGCCGCCAAGCGCGCCGAGCTGGCAGCTGCCGCGGCCGCACTGGCCGACGTGGAGGCGCTGGACGCCACCGTCGCGGACCACGAGGGTGAAGCCGGCAAGTCCTCTCGGCGTGGGCGTCGCGGGGTGCGGGACAGGGGAGGGGGGGGGCCTTCCGGTTGCCCGGCCTCCCGAGCGCGGCCCCTGTCCCCCGGGTGGGGGGCCGCATGTTGGGAGGCCCCGGCCGGGGTCGCCCATTCCCATTCCCATTCCCTCCTCCTCCTCCTCCTCCTCCTCCTCCTCCTCCTCCTCCTTCTCCTCCTCCTCCTCCTCCTCCTCCTCCTCTTATTCCTCCTTGTCGCCCGCGATGCTACGAAAAACATGTTGTTCCGAATTCCTCCTCCTCCTCCTCCTCTTCCTCCTCCTCTTCCTCCTCCCCCTCTTCCTCTTCCTCCTCCTCCTCCCTCTCCTCCTCCTACTCCTGCTCCGAGGGGCGACAAGTGTCACATGTGACGGCGCTCGTCCTCCACATAAATTTCCTCCTCCTTGTCCTCCTCTTACTCCGTACCATCATCCTCCGCGTCATCATCACGATATCCCGTCCCCCATCAGCTTTATGAACTTCGACCTGTGGATCATACATTAGTTAAGCGTTGCGTGATGGCGTGTTCCGCGAGAAGTTTGAAATCATTCTCCACAACGCAAGCCAAAACACAACATATGAATGCATTTACTGTTGGAGTGCGGGAATGGAGCAGCACATAACAAAAAAACAGAGCAATACTAGCGCGATGACGGACCAAGCATATAATCATAATGGAGAAAGAGCGGAGCCATCGCGAAGCAAAACTGAACCAATAATGTAGCAAGACAAATACGATGATGAACCACTGGTGGAAGGTCCGTCGCCCGTGAAAGCGAAACACGGATGCCGCATCCAGGTAATATTTTGTAGTCTGCGTTATGAAATGTGTATTGACATTTTGCGTACGGGGCTGCAGTGCGCAAGGTTCCAGTTTGTATCGATCGTTTCAGTGGTATGCGTTTCCTTGTCAGACGCCTGCAAGAAGAGTCGGTCTGGGACTGGAGATGTCGCGAATGGAACCGGCCCATTATGCGCAATGCCTCTACCACAGCCATCTCATCTAGCCCAGCCAATGGTTCCCCGATCCTTGGAACGCGACCCGGATAATAATGAATTGCCAACGGCTTATCTTCTACATGTGATGTCCTGGGGGTTGGATGCAATAAGCTACATAAGGCTGGGCGGCCAATGGGCCCACGTGGATCCCACGAGAAGTCAAAATGAAGTTTGTCAAGAATAAGAACGGCGCAAGGCTGAACCAGAGCGGAACAAGACTGGCGCAATAATTGGCAACAAGTGGACAATGATGGAGCAATAATGAAAGAACCATGCGGCAAGAGTGGAATGATAACGAAGCAAGAAGGCGGTAACCATGGACCAGTGATTCAACCAGACTTCGTCGACAACGGAGCAAGCATGGAGCAGTAATGGAATTGGGATTGGCAATCGTTCGGGCACGCAGACAAAAAAACAGCAATAGGATACTAGGAACAGTACAGGAGGAATACACTGCATCTATTCAGAATTGGACAACCGTCTGCCAGGTAGCATCAATATGATGGAAAACGAAGCCAGCAAGCGCAGATTAACAAGTCATGGAGCCTGGGTCGCATGTGACATATGCCGCAACCAGATGACATCTGATACCCCCTATGCTTTCATGCCACTCGCATCGCGCGTCCGCGGCCATCCCGATTCAGGGTTTCCCCGTGAGCAATGCCGAGGGCGAACGCATCAGATCTGCTGCGTATTATTTGCAGTCTGACAGCGCGCAGCCCGCGCCCGCAACGGCCAACGCAAGGGCTTTCTGCCGACGGCGCCAGCACACAAAATAATTCCGAAGTTTCTTCGCGGCGGGAAGAGGACGGCGGGCGCCCGATGAAACGCAGCAAGGCTCGCGGACGAAGGAAGGGCGTCATCTGCGCCTGCCGTGGAAGGTCCTTGGATCTTCGTCAGCATCAGAAACTCAAAATCAAAATGACAAACCAATCTTGGTAATTGAATCGGGAACGCAGTCAGGTAATGAAGTGGGCCCACGGTATTGGTCGCAAAACTATGTGTCTGGAAATCCTGAAGAAGCTCGCTGGGTTCGCGTGGGCGCGGCCCTGGAGCTCGCACTGAGTGCCAACGGTTCACGTCGCGCCAGCATGGGCATTGTCCAAGAGACAGTGGCAGGACACGCGAAACAGGCAAACGGCAAACCTCCATCTAGTGCATCCGCGAAACATGCACCTGTGAAGCGTTGGGCGGCCCAGCCGATGGTTGCTTGAGCTCAGTGCGTCAGATTGCCCTGGGGATGCTCAGCGACGTGGGGTTTGAATTTCAATCTCCGAGCGCATTGATTTCCATGGGCCTCAATTGGCGCTGGGCTGAACAAGTAGGAATTCGGTTGCATGTACATCAAAGCTTTCAGGATCCTCAGGTCAAGGCACATTATAATTTGGACTCTGAGTATATCGCTTCAGAACTGCAACAACATTCCAGAATTCAAACATCGCTGAAAGCAGTTCAGCAACTGCTTCGCGATAGTGGAAAGCGTGCCTTCACCGAGCTACATCTTAAAGGAAAAAAGGACGCCGCTCAACACCTCGGGGTTCGAAGCGGTCGAAGCCTTGAAGAAGAAGCCCGGGGGATTTCATGGATCGACGGTGAGCAGGCTAGCAGAGCGCACTGGAGTGCGCTGGACCCCCGCTGCAGATGACGCGACGATTTGCTCGTTCTCAATGGACTGCCAGGCGGCGAGTTCATAGTAGTAGTAGTAGTAATAGTAGTAGTAGCAGTAGTAGTAGTAGTAGTAGTAGTGGAAACAATAGTAGTAGTAGTAGTAGTAGTAGTAGTACTACTGCTGCTACTGCTACTACTACTACTACTAGTAGCAGTAGTAGTAGTAGTAGTGGTAGTAGTAGTAGTAGTAGCAGTAGTAGTAGTAATAGTGGTAGTAGTAGTAGTAGTAGTAGTAGTAGTAGTAGTAATGGTCGTCTGAGTAGTAGTAGTAGTAGTAATAGTAGTAGTAGTAGTAGTAGTAGTAGTAGTGCTAGTAGTAGTAGTGGTAGTAGCAGTAGTAGTAGTGGTAGTAGTAGTAGTCGTAGTGGTAGTGGTAGTGGTAGTGGTAGTGGTGGTGGTAGTAGTAGTCGTACTAGTGGTAGTGGTA